AGCTCTCTGCTGTGGCCTGGGAAAGCAGTAGAAGATGGCCCAAGTCCTTGGGCCTCTGCGCCCACGGAGAGACCCAGAAGAAGCTCGAAGCTCCTGGCTCTTGGCTTTGGTTTGGCCCTGCTTCAGCTGTTGGTGGCCAGTTAGGGAGTGAACCAGAAGATGGAAGACCTCTCTTGCTCTCTCTGCCTCTGTCTCTGTATCTCTGCCTTTCAAATAAATAAATAAATAAATATTTAAAAAATAAAGTTAAAGAAAGTATAGGTAGGGAGGAATCTCTCCCAAGTGAGCTCCCTCATCCTTTAAAAGATACAAGGATGTTTTTTTTTCTCTCTCTCTGTATGGATTTTTTTAAATTTTTGAGATAACTTTTTTGAAACATTATTTTTTCAAAAGGCAGAGTTACAGAAAAGCAGAGGCAGGGGGAGAGAGAGAGGTCTTCCATCTGTTGGTTCACTCCCCAAATGGCCATAATGGCTAGAGCTGTGCTGATCTGAAACCAGGAGCCTGGAGCTTCTTCCAGGTCTCCCACATGGGTGCAGGGGCCTAAGGACTTGGGCCATCCTCTACTGCTTTCCCAGGCCATAGCAGAGAGCTGGATCAGAAGTGGAGCTGCCAGGACTCAAATCGATGCCCATATGGCATACTAGCAGTGCAGATGGCGGCTTTACCTGCTAGCCACAGCCCCAGCCTCGAGATTTTTAATTTACATCATAGTCAAAGGTTTGATGTACCACTAAATAAAGAGTTCAACAAGTCAAAAGTAAAGACCAGAGTTCAACAGGAATAGGCAAGGGGTTCAAAATTTCTTAAACGTGTCTGCCTGGGGAGAATGCTATGGTAGCATTAATAGACAACAGCATTTTAATTATGAGTTTCATATATTTGTATTACAAAACCCAGCAATTTTAGCAATAAACTATGGTGATTACACAAAGCATTTTTAGGAATAATAAACCTCAGCTGAATATACTCATGAACCACACTAAGACTCAATTTCAGGGCAGTGCTGTAGCATAGTCGGTCAAGCCGCCGCCTGCAGTGCCAGCCTGGGAAAACAGTAGAGGATGGTCCAAGTCCTTGGGCCCCTGCACCCACGTGGGAACCTGGAAGAAGCTCCTGGCTCCTGACTTCGGATTGACACAGCTCCGGCTATTGAAGCCATTTGGGGAGTGAACCAGCAGATGGAAGACCTCTCTCTCTCTTTCTCTGCCTATGCTTCTCTGAAACTCTGCCTTTCAAATAAACAACTCTTTTTTAAAAAGTTACCTCAAAAATTAAATAATAATCTGTACAGAGATCCTTTGAAAGGATGAGGGAGCTCCTCTATTAGGAGGGATTCCTCCCTACCTATGCTTTAGTTAACGTAATTTTTTTAAAAGATTTATTCCCTGGGGAGTGAATCAGCAGATGGAAGACATCCCCCGCCTTTCTGTTACTCTGATTTTAAATAAAATTTTTTAAAAGACAATTTCAGCTCTCATTAGTCACATCAAGTAATATAGATGAGTTGACTAATTTAAAATGTATTAAATGTAAATTGATTTTGCATTGTCGGAAATAGCGAGAGGCTTTCTGTAGGGGCTGTCATGAACCTTGCCTGGCTCCTGCCCCATACGTTTCTCATCACGGACGCTTTACACAGCGTTTCTATTTTCATTGTGTGTTATCTTGGCTGCCTGAAGGGCAGTAGCTGTGCTTTGCTATTCACCAATCTTGGACTTGTCTGTCCGATACCAGCCAGGGTCCAGGCTGGGTAGAGCCTGGGCAGCCTGGAATAGCTATCCCAGTTTCCAGGGGCAGCTGTGTCATTTCCAAGGTCTTTGTCCCACCAGAGCCAGCAAATTCAGGTAAGTTGCAGTTTGTTGCACAATGTGAGTGAAGATTTGTTAAATGCGTCTTTATTCCACCTTTGACCGGCTCATGAAGCACAGACTCTAAGTTTCCCTGGGCCCACAGTAAGGGATCTGTGAAGCTATCTCAGATTTTTTTTTTTTTTTTTTTTTTTTTTTGTACGCAGGTGCAGGGCCCAAGCACTTGGACCATCCTCCACTGCACCCCCGGGCCACAGCAGAGAGCTGGACTGGAAGAGGAGCAACCGGGACAGAATCTGGCGCCCCAACTGGGACTAGAACCCGGGGTGCCGGCGCTGCAGGCGGAGGATCAGCCTAGTGAGCCGTGGCGCCGGCCTGATTTCTTTACATTATCACAGGCATCCTAGGAGCTTGCATTCTGTAGAGTACGTGAAATCTGCCCCAGATCAATATGAAAAAAAAAAAATGAAAGTACAACTAGATGGCACAGCAAGCAGTGTTCAAGGTGGCCTGGGAGATGCACCGAGATGGGGAAGAAACAAGTGTCGTGTGAGCAAGAGAAGCAGCATGTGCAAAGGCCTGGAGGCAGGTGGCACTGGAGAATAGGCTATGTTACACAAGCAGAGCAGTGTGGGAACAGCGGGGGAGGAGCTGCGGCCCCGTTGGATCTGCCTCAGGTCTCAGGGCAGGGGCCTGCGCTGTGGCATATCAGGTAAAGACACTGCCTGCAATGTCCAATATGGATACCAGTTCAAGTCAGGACTGATCCAGCTCCCTGCTGTGGCCTGGGAAAGCAGTAGAAGATGGCCCAAGTGCTTGGGCCCCTGTAATCATGTGGAAGACCCAGCTTCAGATCAGCCCAGCTTTGGCCATTGTGGCCATTTGGAGAGTGAACCAGCAGATCGAAGACCTCTCTCTTTCTCCCCCTGCCTCTGCTTCTCTGTAACTCTGCCTTTCAAATAAATAAATCTAAAAAACAAAACAAACAAACAAAAAAACCTCAGGGCAACGTTTAAGGAGGGGCAGGGCCATCCCCAGGAACACCTCTTTTACCCAGTTTTTTTCAAGTTATAGTTGCTCTTATAGTCCATACCTATGTCATACCCTGCTTTTCTTGTATTTGTAACAGCACCAACATTTCTCTGTTCTTCATTAGAACCATTTTTAATTGCAAAATGGTCATTCAGCCATTCCTTGTAATTGAATATTTGGATTATTTTTATAAGTTAGAGTAGTGCAAAAAACTTTGCAAATAACACTCTTCCTCCTGTTTAAAAAATAGTTCTGGGTTAGGATGTTTCTAGACGGCATGCCAGTCATAAGGGACAATGTTAATTTCCTTGACTATTTGATGGGGAAAAAATCATTATCTTCTCGTTTCAGTTTACGTTCCTTCAATGACTAGTAAAATTTAATAGGCCTCCATATTTTTCAACAAGTATTCTCAGGGCAACAGATAAAGCTATAAAGTAATTTAGTGAAGAGATAAAGGCAATATCAATTTGCTATTTTACAGTCAAGTAAATTTGTGGCATATGCAGTCCAGTGAAACAATTTTAGACTAAGCTCAAGTACTTTCATAAAGCTCTATTGTTATTTAAAAATCAATGAGTGTTCTGAAGGCTAAATAAACTTTTCTTCAGAGGGAAGGCATTCAGACAAGCTAAGCACATGCTATGCAGGACGTGTAGGATGGGGAGCTATCTGGCTTGGACAGGAGAGCGAGGTGTTTATAAGGTGCTGTGCCCACACCAGGGTCCCGGCTTCTAAGAACTCGGCTTTTGCACTAATAGAAACAGAGGCCCCACTTCTTTTTATTGACCTGGTGGAAGTGTCTGTAACGACCTCTCTGGAGGGGAGCGCTCCCCTAAGCCCCCCAACACAGGCAAGGACCGCCTCCAGATCGATTTACAAGTGAATCGGTGAAAAGCTCTGAGCAGAGCGTGCAGGGACCCCACTTCAAAGGACAAGTTCTGAGAGGGAATTTCTCTCCCTCCAGCTGCCTCCGGGACAGGACCCTTCTCTTAAAAGGTTCGCTTGAAACTTGTGTAAAATCTAACTGATTCTCAGGGTGGTGATTACTGCAGAAGCCTGAGGATGGACTGCTGCTCCCAGCCGGGAAGATGAGCTCTGTGGGTTCTGGGGGCTGAGTGAAGCCACCCTCCCGGAGGCCCCGCAGACCTGTGCGGAGCTGGCCCTGGGCAGGCACAGCCGGGACTTGGCGTCTCCGACCTGGAGTCTCTGAGCCTGAGTCCTGCCCTGGAAACCCTTGCCCTTGCGGAGGAAGAGGTACCTGTGGGGGCACTTGCGCCCTCCCAGCGGCCAGGCGCCCTTCCTGCAGGTGGGCACATCCCTGGGCTGCCCGGTCATCTGCCGGCAGAATCACAAGCAGGCTGGGGCCACGACTTCGGGGACTGCTCACTGTCCCTGTGAAAGCCGAATGCTTAGGAGCTGGGTTTAGAAAAGGCCATCAGTGTTCTCTGACACCTGGAATTAAAATACAGAGGATAAGTACTCTTTGAAGCCCCTGGGGGCAAGGCATGGTCTCTCTCTCGGCCACGTGTCTTGTTCTCACGTTGGAGTCTCTGATAGAATATTTTGGCCACCTCCGGATGCATCCGCTCGAAGCAGGCCCACCTATCTGCTGAACCCCTGGCGGGGAGCGGGGAGCCAGTGTGACTGCAGAGACCCGCCGGGGGCCCCATTATTGTCTTGGGTGTGATCAATAAGTCCGGCAGCCAGCAGAAGAGCTGAGAGGCGACCGGTCTCTCTGAAGTATTGTCTGCCTCCCGAAATAGGCACTGTTCATTTGGGGGACTCCCTGCTCCGTCCGGTGCTCCTGGAACTGCAGGCTCCTCGGGCGAGGGCAGAGCGGGGAGGGCTGGAGCAGCACGGCAGAAAGGGATAATTAATCAGGCTGTGGCTTGGCGCAGGGCCAGGGGTTCCTTGGAAACACAGAGCCTTCAGCTGTTGGCAATCAGACTTCAGGCAACTTTCAATTATCAACGCTATTGGAGGGGGCAGTGAGGTGGGTAATGCAAAAGAGCAGATAATCCCTCGAAACCATTGAATTTATCTTCGGAATGACTTTCACATGTGTACTCGCACACACACAAGCCGTTTCCCCATTCCTCATTCCGGCCTGCTTAAGCCCACACCAAAATAGACGGTGACTCCTGGAGGGCACACCAGGCGATAAGAAGCTGGGCTGAAGGAAGCTGGTCCTCGGATTAGATTTTCGCTGGCCCGGCCACTTGTGGATAGTCAGGGGGTCAACGTCCTGATTCCGTAGCCTCGCGCTGATAGGAACCAAGAGGTTCTTCATCGCACAACTTTTGCTCTGCAGATGAAGAAGCCGTATCACTTGTGCCTGGCTGACTGCGCGCGGGCACTCTTGCTCGGACGGAATTCTCTTCGCCTCACTTTGTTCTTAATGGGGGAAAGTCGCAGGAACTTGGGCCTACCCTGGGGCTAAACTGTGGGACGCTGAGTTGCCAGGTGACATTGGCAGCTCCTTAGGTCACCCTTGCCCAATCACAGCGGAAACTGGAATGGGGGAGGGGCGCTGTCGGTGAGACCCAGGCAATGGGGTTCGAAAGCTGCCCAGGCGAATGCCCAGTGCAGAGAGTCTCGGCCCAGAATCCTGACACCTGCACAGCCCCGGACAAACGCACTCACCTCTCCTCCCTTCCTTTTCTTCGTGAAACGGAATGGTGCTGGAGACCGTCCCATGCTTGCCTTCCAGGGTTGCTGGGAAAACCCAAAAGTTCATGTACTGCAAACATCTAGAACATTTGGCAGCATGTGGAAGGCGTGATACAAATGGTGGCTGTTACTGCCACTGTTACCATTCCATAGGGCCTTGTGGAAGGAGAATGCTGGAGGGACCCTGGGCTACATGCAGACCCGGTGTGAAAACTTGCCTTGGGGCCTTGAGCTTGAAGTCGAATGCCTTACTCAACTAAATACCCAAGGAGGGGGATGCAAGTGTAAGAGGTGGGAAGAAATAAACCAGCTCCTAAAAACAGACTTGTGTTCAACTTGGTGGGAAGGAAGAATAATTTAACTGGCTGGATTTGAGTGACATCTATGTGGGTTTCTTTAAAAAAAAAAAAAAGACTTATTTATTTGAAAGGCAGAATTATAGAGAGGTTGGGGGTGGGGGGAGACTGAGAGATTTTTTTTATCCGCTGATTCACTACCCCAAATGACAACAGCCTGGCCCAGCAGATACCAGGAGACTGGAACTCCACCCAAGTCTCCCATGTGGGTGCAGCAGCCAAAGCACTTAGGTCATGTGCAGCTGCTTTCCCGGGTGCATTGCAGGGAGATGGAGCAAAAGCAAAGCTGCCAGGACTTGAATTGGCGTGCACAGGGGATGTCCGCATGGCAGGCAGTGACTTAACCTGCTGCACCACAACCCCGGCTCCCAAGAAACCCTGAGCATGTAGAATCTCCCACTGTGACTGCTCAAGTCCCAGCCACGCCGGGAATCCTCCCACGCACCCTCAGTTTTTTTCACAGTCCTGGTATAGAAGCCTCACACAGTCACAAGCTCCTAGCCCCCGGAAGTTCTCCCCACCAGATTCAGGAGTCTCCACTCAGCTGGTGCAGGGCACAGACATGAGCTGGCACAGCTATTATGTGTCCAAAATGGTGATTCCTCTACCGGCTTCTTACTGGGCAGTTGTAAAGTGATCAGGGAGAGAGTAGTGTATCTGTCCTGTGTTTTTTTTTTCCCTCCTCTAGTTTGGCTGGTACACTATCCCCCATGCGGCTCCAAGCCGGGTTCCCTCCAGGCTCTTCCTGTAGCTTTTTAACCAGCAGCTTGGGCTACTGCGGTCTGGTCTCACCTCACTTTCCAATGCTGGTACGTAGGCTGTCAGCTGCTGGAGTTCAGAGCTGTGGGCGCCCCTCCACATAGGTTCACCGTGTCCCTCTAGCCTCAGGAGAGTTTCCTCTGCCGTTTTCTCCCTAACTCTTCCCTGAGACTACACTCTCTCCACTTTTTTTTTTTTTTTTTTTTTTTTTTTTTTGACAGGCAGAGTGGACAATGAGAGAGAGACAGAGAGAAAGGTCTTCCTTTGCCGTTGGTTCACCCTCCAATGGCCACCGCGGCCGGCGCGCTGCGGCCGGCGCACCGCGCTGATCCGATGGCAGGAGCCAGGAGCCAGGTGCTTTTCCTGGTCTCCCATGGGGTGCAGGGCCCAAGCACTTGGGCCATCCTCCACTGCACTCCCGGGCCACAGCAGAGAGCTGGCCTGGAAGAGGAGCAACCGGCACAGAACCCGGTGCTCCGACCGGGACTAGAACCCGGTGTGCTGGCGCTGCAAGGCGGAGGATTATCCTAGTGAGCCGCGGCGCTGGCCTCTCCACTTTTTTTAAACTATCTTCTCCTGGGCTAGACCAGTAAGCTCCCTCCCTACTCCACCATCTTGGAACCCAGAACGTCAGCTCCCAATGTCTGTGATTTTTAAGCTATGATAGCAGCTAGAGTTGTTCAGTTAACATATCCAAACAAGCATGCAGCTGTGACACACCTCACACTGGGATGAGGGAGAAACCTGCATTTGCTGCCCTGAGCCCAGAGTGGCAGGGGACACTGCTGCTATCAGCTCACTCAGTGTTTTTTTTTTTTTTTTTAAGATTTATTTTATTTATTTGAAAGAGTTACAGAGAGAGGTAAAGACATAGAGAGAGGTCTTCCATCTGCTGGCTCACTCCTCAGATGGCCACAATGCCCAGAGCTGCGCCCATCCGAAGCCAGGAGCCAAGAGTTTCTTCCGGGTCTCCCATGTGGGTGCAGGGGCACAAGGCCTTGGGCCATCTTCTGCTGTTCCAGGCCATAGCAGACAGCTGGATCGGAAGAGGAGCAGCCGATTCTTGAACTGGCGCCCATATAGGATGCTGGCGCATCAGGCCAGGGCTTTAACCCTGCTGCGCTACAGCACCGGCCCCTTACTCAGTGGTTTTTAAAAAAAGTTTCGTGTTCTAATTCCACAGTGGTGCCAGGAATTCTTTTACCTTCCCCTTTTTTTTTGGACAGGCAGAGTTAGACAGAGAGAGAGATAGAGAGAAAGGTCTTCCTTTACCGTTGGTTCACCCTCCAAATGTTCGCTAAGGCCGGCGCTCTGCACCGATCCAAAGCCAGGAGCCAGGTGCTTCCTCCTGGTCTCCCATGCAGGTGCAGGGCCCAAGCACTTGGACCATCCTCCACTGCCTTCCCAGGTCACAGCAGAGAGCTGGACTGGAAGAGGAACAACCAGGACAGAATCCAGTGCCCCAATCGGGACTAGAACCCAGGGTGCAGGCATGCAGGCGGAGGATTAGCCTAGTGAGCCACGGCACTGGCCTTATTTCCCATTATTATGGACTGAATGCTTGTGTTCTGCCCTCTACCCCAAAATTCATATTGTGGCTTCCTAAGGCCCTATGTCATATTATTAGGAGATGGGCTTGGGGAGGCCAGTAGGTCAAGAGGGTGGAACCCTCTCTGGTGGCATTAGTGCCATCATGATAGCCACCAAAAAGCTCTCTCTGCTCCCAGGATGAATGGAACATGGCTGCCTGAAGCCTGGACAGGCCTCTGCTGGGACCCAGCCTTGCTGGCACGCTGAGCTCTGACCTCCATCCCCAGAACCATGAGAGCTCACTTCAGTTGTTCAGACAGCACCCAGCTTGTGATCCTCGGGCTAGCAGCCTAAACTCCAACACCCAGACTTTATCTTATTCGAAATGATCAGTTACTGTCACTCCTTCCTGTTCCTTCACAAAGCAGCAACCAGTGGCATTTTAAAGAAGCACACGCACTGTAGGGGTAGTTTCAGGCCAAACAAAACTCACCTGCTTCTCACCAAACTCTGGTTACAAAAACACTAGCAAGTGGACTTCTTTCTAAATAAACAACTCTTAATTTACAGAAAAACACATTGCGGCTAATAATTTGTAATACGTAAAGCATCATAATGTTTCCGTATTTTAGATGCTATGGGATTTCAGAATTTAGTTCATGTGTCCTAGTGAAGAAACAAGGTCAAAGTTAACTTGGGATTTTAAAGACCTCTTTAAATAGACTTTTCAGAGAACCCACTGTGCATCTTTTTGCAAATTGCATCATAGCATAACAAACATGAAGAAGTCGGCCAGTCATTGTCGCTCCCCCTCTTCGTGGAGGAACGACACAGGACCCTGCGCTGTTCTTTCGTCTGCTCGGCCCTCCCCGGGTTTGCTGCTGGTTCTTCCCGGGTTGGCTACTATCCCTTCCACCTCCGTGGAAGGGCAGTTCCCCCTGGTCACATTCCCCACTTCCGCAGGGGAGCGGCACACCGCCGGCCGGCTCTCTGGGGGCTGCACGGGTTCCCTTAGATGTTCCCCATAGATGTTCCTTGTGCATGCCGTCTCTCTCCTCCTTTATAGTCCTCCTCCACCAATCCCAACTCTGCTACCCACACGCCGAGCATGCTGCTCTCCTCCAACCAGGAGCAGGTCCTACAGTTTATTAGTTGAACTGGAGGCAGCTGTGCGGAAGCTGTTTACTTCTCTCCCATCGCCATATTGTGGGAGAGCAGATGCATAGAATAAGTCTTAATTCCAGTAACTCAGTCTAGTCCGGATTGCTCCCCACAGATCCCCCTTTCTTTTTATTTTTGGCGTTGATACGCGCCTGTCTTCGGTGTCCCGCGGCACACACTCTGCTCTACTTGCTAGAGTTGCCACAGGCTCTTACAAGTCCTATCAATCAGGAAAACCGAATCCGGGTCCTCTCTTCGCCATTTGTGAGGAGATTTTTAGGCGCTGATGCGTGCCTGTGTTCGGTGCCCTGCAGCGCATGCTCTGCTCTGCCCGCAGGGGCTTACAAAACCTATCAGGCAAACCGAATCCAAGCCTTCTCATTGCCGTATTGTGGGGGAGACTTATTAGTGTTGGTTTGTGCCTATCTTCGGTGACCTGCAGCTCATGCTTTGGTTGAGCTGCTTGCTGGCGCTTACCGCCTTAATTAGGCAGACCGAATCCAAGCTTTCTCATTGTTGTATTGTGGGGAAGCCTTACTGATGTTAATTCGTGCCTGTCTTCGGTGACCTGCGGCGCATAAGCTGCTAGCCGCTGCAGGTGCTCATCGTGCTCATCGCCTCACTTAATCGGGCAGACCGAATCCAAGCTCTCACATTGCAGTGTTGTAGGGAGGCCTTTGTATTTCTCTATTTCTCTACCTCCGGGCATTCCTATTTCTCCCATTTTACTTCTATCTTCCAGCATTCCTATTTCTCTCACTTTACTTCTAAAACTTCTGTTTCTCTTATCCCCGCAGCTTCCCAGCGCCTCGCCCTGCCGGCAGGCTTCACGGCTCTGCGCGGCTTCCCGGCGCCTCGCCCCGCCGGCGCCCGCCCCGCGGCGGCTTTATAGTTCTGCGCGGCTTCCCGGCGCCTTGCGCCGCCGGCGGGTTCCCGGCTCTGCGCGCACACTCCGCGGTCTCCACGCACTTCGCGCCCGCACCACGGCCTCGTGCCAGCCCTGCGTTCTCTATCTATTCACGCCCCGTGCTCTCTGCACGGAGCGGCTTCCGCAAATGTTTCCGCCACCACCGGCATTCAGTCCAAGTTCCCCGGACTAACCTGGCGAATTTCAACCTGGCGGCCCACGTCTCTGCCTCTGGTTCCAGATCTTCGCCTCTTGCTCCCCGGGGTGACTTGAAGAATTCCAAGGTGGCTTATATCTCCGCCTCGGCCTGCACTCGCAGCTTCATCCTCCCTAACATTTTTCTCTACCCGGTAT